AAACTTTCCCGCCTAACTTGTTATTTTGTCCAAACGTTCCTTCCTACAGTGTACCGCCATCTGATCCCTTCGCTTGGGAGTCCTCTGGACAGGAGACTCACGCTCAGGAGACCTTTAGCAAGTCTGCTGTGGATCACACCGAACACCACTCCCCTTCTCGCCCCCCACCATCAAGACCGGCACCTCCAAAGTTCCCTAGGACAGGAGCGGGCGATGAGCAGGGTAAGTAACTTTTTAAATAAGCTTATTTACCAGATGATTGTCTTATTCTAGTGGCCGCAGCGGCAGCTGCTGCCGAAGCTGGATCTCATTCTCCTGCCCCACCGCGACCTCCTCCAGCCCACCCAAGTCCCACAGCTCATCCCCAGCCACCTCGTCCGGGGCCACCATCACCAAGACCTCCACCACCGAAGAGAGTGGAGGAGCCGGAACCCGAAGAGGATGCATGGACAAGGTTTAAGAAGATGACTGAGCAGGTAACATTTCAGTGTTCCATCCGGACATTAAATAAATTTTGACGTTTAGGTGAACGTTGCCTTAAAAACGACTGAGGACACTTTAAAAACGCTAAATGAGACAACTGCAGTAAAAGATATCAAGGATGAGAGCTATCTAGGACAAATCGGGTAAGATTTCCAGAATCATTTTGCTAAAAATGTTCTGTTACGTCTTATCAATAATTTTTTTCTGGAATTTTACTTTTTTTTTGATATTTTCTTGGCGACTAACCTGCGTACAACTACTATGTTAATTTTACATTATTAGACCTGACGTTAAGGATTTGTAACAACAATCTGAAACAAATTATTTTACAACGAAAACTTAACCTACCCTAGTAAAAAAAAACTATTAGCGTTTTTTGAAACACCAGCCTTTTTTTGAAACACCAAACTGTTTTCGAAAAGTTTCTCATGCTGCAAATTCTTGTGTTTGCAAGCTGTTTGAAGCTGGTTTCCTCATTAACTCAAAAATCTTCTGTTTTCAAACAAATTTCCCCTTAAAACCCAGCCTGTAAACTTTCAAATTTTCTATTCAGAGGAACTCAAGGTTATGATGACACACTTGCTCAGAGAGAAATCCAACGATTGGCGGAAGAAAAGAAGGAAGAGAAAAAGCTAAAAAAGAAGTTGAAACATCAAGGTGGGTGATTTTGGGTAGATTGGCATTTATTTCTGAAAAATTTTTTCGCTTTCTAGGAAAAAAGGCGCCGTCACCGACTTTTGATCCCGAAAAAGAAAAAGACATGGATCGAGCTGCGCAAGAGTTGGCTATGAAAATGGCCAGTATGAGAACAGATCTTGGAGTATGTTGAAACCTATAATAATTTTCTAAATTTTGAGTTTCATAAATTTTATGAAGACATTCTTTTCAACTATGAGAAAAAAAGAAAATATATTCAAGGA